CCCCAAAACCCCAAAACCCCAAAACCCCAAAACCCCTTAAAATTAAGAATAGTTGGAACTAGTTAATATTATTTAGGAAACACTAATTCGAACTCGAAGATTCAAAACAGCTCAGAGCATTCTAGCAGCCCGATGCCACGTGATAACTTCATGAAATTCATGCACTCTTCGAATAGCTACGAGACATTCAAATCTGGCAACAAGAAGTCAGCCCAACTGTATGAAATTCTGAATAATTTCACTAAAATTCAAAGGGTCGTTCGAAACTCTTACAAATACATTCAAAGTCGTGAGAGAGACATCAGGAGGAAGTCAGCAGCAGACCCGATTTTCGATATGAAGTATTCTCTCGTTCTGTTGAAGAAAGACAGCCCAGAGTATAGACAGCATTTGAAGAACATCCGCAAAATGGGGAGTATTCTGAAGGAACTCGGGCCAACGGAGTCAAAAACGCAGGCTAAATGATATCCAATATTTTGTGAGCTTTAACTGAAGATAGGATTATATAGCTTTGAACAGCTATGAGGCATGCTCAAATAGGCAATAAATTTTATAAATTAGCCACTACTGCTAATTCTCTTACAAGTAGATCCTTATCACCACATGAGAGGTATAAGTAAGTTTAGCCTAACCAACAATTAGTTTTAACAAGAAATTTGAAAAATCTTATTTGTCTCATTGGCAGTATGATCTTGAAGGAGGCTACTCTTTGACACAATATCTTTCTTTGTATAAATTTTATAACTAAAATATTGGATATTTCATTTTGAACTCAAAACTAGGAGTCTCATTCTGATTGATTCTAGCAATTATAAAACTTCAAGAGATTTCATAGAATAACTTGAGGAAGCTTATGAAGTCAAATTAAAATACATCTTAACAACTTATAGACACTGATATCATGTCTACGGCAATGAAGAGTGAAAGGAGAATAGACCAAATCGAGAAATCATTACAACAAATCACCTATATGCAGATATTCCAACAACAACACAAAAAATTCTAAGTCTTTAAACATTCCAAAACTAGCCACTTCCACCCCCAATCATCCCTTAACCCCCCTTCTGCAGCCTTTGTTCATCAATTTCCTTTCTTCTTCCTCCACGGGGCTTGGCAGGCCGCTTATACATCTTCTTAGTGTGCTTGGAGTGGATCAGGAGGGTAACAATGGGGTTTCTGGAATGGGAGACAAGAGGTTTGCAAGAAGGAGTTAGGATTGAATAAGGAAGGAGGACTTGCTCAGTTATTCGATTGCCTACATTTCAAAAATCCTCTCGCTCTATTACTAAAACTATAGATAAGAACCAAAGGAACACCATCTACTAAACAAGCTATTTAAAACCACTCTAATATCTCTTTCGTCTATTAACTTTCCCCCTCGACTATGCTCGCACCACCCACAAACGCTCTATGCAACCACTCTCACCTCTATTAACCCTCCACTGCTGACTGACGAATGAGAGCAAGGGGCTGGGAAGAGTGCAGAAAGTGCAGTTTAGGTGAAAAGTTTGGAAGTCAAAAAAAGGTTGAATAAAGATTAACCAACATTCAAAACAAGCATCTTATATTGGGGTTTTGGGGTTTTGGGGTTTTGGGG